GCTTTTACAGTGGCGCTGCGTAGGGCCAATTTGAGCATCAGAAATCCAAGTCCAGATCCTCCGCAGCCGAAAAAGGAAAAGAGCTTGCCATGGTGGGATGAAATGAGAAACTACATTCATGGAAACACCTCCTTATATTTTTCTGAGTCCCAATGGAATATTCTTGCCAGTACTGATCCTTATGAAAAGTCTGACAAGCTTCAGATAAGATCTGGGTATATGGAACTCCAGCAGTCAGATGGCCGCGTTTATTGTTTTGCAAAGAAGTTCAAGATTCTAGTGAGCAGCTTGGATAGCTTGTTGAAGAACTCCAACTTAAAGCGTCCATCTGGCTTTTCCTGTACTTTCATAGAGGCCCCGGCCTTTAGTCTTGAAGTGATAATGGAGTGGGAATGTGATTCTGGAAACCCTCTAAACCATTATTTATTTGCATTTCCCAGTGAAGGAGTGCCTCGTGAAAAAGTTTATGATCCATTTAGATCAACTTCTCTGTCACTACGGTGGAATTTGTTGCTTAGGCCCTCTCTTCCCATTCATGATAATCAGTCAAGCTTATGTGCAGTGGGTGATCAGGGTGCCTTGGATGCAGCTGGTTGTGGTGCAACGAAGCCAGATAGCTTGTCAGTTTCTCCAACACTAAAACTTGGTCCTCATGATTTGGCATGGATACTGAAATTCTGGAGCTTAAATTATAATCCGCCTCACAAATTGCGGTCTTTTTCTAGGTGGCCACGTTTTGGAATACCGAGAGTTCCTAGATCTGGCAATCTTTCATTAGACAAGGTGATGACAGAATTTATGTTCAGAGTTGATGCCACACCAGCATGCATAAGGCATATGCCTTTAGACGATGATGACCCAGCAAAGGGGCTGACATTTTCTATGACTAAATTAAAATATGAACTTTATTATGGCCGAGGAAAGCAAAAATACACCTTTGAGAGCAAGCGTGACACTCTTGATCTTGTGTACCAGGGTCTTGACCTCCACATGCCTAAGGCATTTATAAATAGAGATGATGATAGCAGTGTTGCAAAAGTAGTTAAAATGACTAGGAAAACATCACAATCTGCATCAACAGAAAGGTCTTCTAACGATAAAACTAGCAGTGTGAGCAGCAGCATGGAGAGACAGCGTGATGATGGGTTTCTTTTATCATCTGAGTATTTTACAATCAGAAGGCAAGCCCCAAAAGCTGACCCAGATAGGTTGTTGGCGTGGCAAGAAGCTGGTAGGAGAAATCTGGAGATGACATATGTGAGATCTGAGTTTGAAAATGGGAGTGAAAGTGATGACCATACAAGATCTGACCCAAGTGACGATGATGGATATAATGTAGTGATCGCTGATAATTGTCAGCGTATCTTTGTCTATGGTCTAAAGCTTTTGTGGACACTTGAGAATAGAGATGCAGTTTGGTCTTGGGTAGGTGGAATATCTAAGGCTTTTGAATCTCCAAAACCATCTCCTTCTAGGCAATATGCCCAAAGAAAGTTGCTGGAGGATAGTGAGGTAATTGATAGAACTGAATTACCTCAAGATGATATCCAGAAGTCTCCAGTTAGTCATTGTGCAAGCTCCTCTTCTCCACAACACGCGAGGCCATCAAAAGCACAAGTAGAATCACCTCCATCAAGTGAAGTTAAAGTAGAAACTCTTCCATCCAGTTCCGCTGGTAAGCTCTAATTGGACCTTGACTCTCTATCTTGACTTAGAGCATTAGATATGTGTATTCTTCTTTGAGAATTAGTGAAACTTCAAAGCCAAAAAAAATAAAATAACAATAATTAAAGAAAGAATTAGTGAAATGTAGCATAGTTCTAAAAACGCTGCATCTTGGATAGTTGTTAGTTATTATACATAAGGAGTTTACTTTATGATCTAATACATAAGCACTAAAAGTCAATATTTCTAGTTCGCATATTTGGCATATCCAATCTACCTTCTGGACTAGCCCTCTTTTTTGACAATCGATTAATTGTAGCAGCTTGACATGGCTGCATTTGCTTGTGATCTATATAAATGTTTGTATAATATTTGAGATATGGGTCATAATCTTTTGTTATCGTTCTCACTACTTAAACTCCTCACCGCAATACGTTATCTCTATTACCAGCAAAGCTTGCCAACATTGAAGACTGTGAGGGGGAGGGCACTCGCCATTTCATGGTCAATGTCATTGAACCACAATTCAATCTTCACTCAGAAGATGCAAATGTAAGTTAATTATCTGTTGATATTTCAGAGCTTAACTAATTGGATTGGTTCTCGGTCACAGCTTTTCTAGTTTACTGTATCCTTATTCACTGTCATGTCATTGATATTTGTTTCTTTTTCCTTTTGGATTGAAATCCTCTGAACCTTATGCTTGCTTGTAATATTCATTTGTAATGTCAACTGTTTACATAAGTCATCTCTGTACCTTATTGTAAGCTTCTAGCTACATGAAATATTTTCCTTCATTGACAAAATAAATAGTTACCATACGCGGCAAAAGGTGCAAGTAGCAGTGTAGCACACATTGAGGATAGGATGAGAGGTCACTTTAGGTTTGTCATATCCTGCATTGGCCTCTGATGCTTCGGTGCTTAGGTGTAAAACCATGAGCGAAGGTGTTAAAACAGGACGAGGTAGACCTAATATCACATGGAAGGAAGTTGCCAGAAATGATCTACAATCTCTTGGAATCCTTGCAGATCTAGTGAAAAATAGGGATCTATATAGGCGATACCAATTAGTTGTATTAATGTTAGTACATTTATTTTAGGTCCTATTCAACTGTTTACAGAAGTCATCTCCCTGTATTGCTTTGTTCAATGTTATGTTTAGTCATTCTTATTCTCTACTCCTTTGTTGAACAATCTGGACTAGTCTTGACCTTTTTTTTTTGCAACTTAAGATATTAACAATTTCCGCTTTCCTATCTCAAACTTTTTTTAAAATTAAACTGAAATAAGTAGATAGTGCATATATAGGAAGCACTATAGCATTATACGTAGGAAAAAAACTCCTTTTCTCTATCTTTTCTTGCATAAATAATTCTTGAATATCAATGAAAGGAAAATAATTTAACCTTAAGAATTCTCTCCTGGAGAAATGCTTTTCATAAGTCCCTTGCTGTGTCCTCAAGTGTTAGGCATGTGAAAGAATTTGGGCATCCAATTATTCAAACCCAAAACCTTATAGGCAATGGGTGGAGTAGCCCGGGATATTATAAACCCCTTTGAAACCCTTATATAACCTATGAGGGACAAGTATATTCTTTAACAATAACACCCTCTTACACGTGTAACCCAGTTCAAGGGTACACAGATTTGATTTTCTCTTTTTATTTGGGCCTTTTCCTTGTAAAGTAGACAGAGAGGGGTCAGCAGGCTCACTCCTGGAGTAGAGGGAAATGGATTAGGCTCAATAAGCTAATGAGTGGGCTTAGAGCAATGTTAGTGGCTTGATAGGCTGAATTGATAAAGAGAAGTCTAGAACAGCTCAGTGGGGTGAGTTGAGAGTGAAATTCAGAGTGACAAAAAATGAAAATGAAAAGAGAAAGCAGTTATGAAGACAGATTCACCAAAGTTTGGCTTTGGTATCATGTGAAAGAATCTGAGCATCCAACTTAAACATTAAGTCAGTGGGTGGAGTAGCCAAAGCATTATAAATCCCTTTGCTGTTTCCTTGATCTCTGTCAGACTTATGCATCCCATGTTTACGAAGGTTGATTGACTTTTTCCATTAGTACGACAACTTCTGTTAAAGCAGTTCTCATAACTTTTTCAAAACCAAGATGTGTTTGCAAGTCATATAATTGATTGGATTTTGTGTACTTCTCTCTACACTTTCACTGTCCTTCCAGAAGGTTAATGGGAGACTAGGAGAGAAAATTGAACAGTTTACAAGTAAAATTGTATTCTTTATTCTCCTTTTTCTGGTGCGAAGGGTACAATTTATACACACTGTAATATTGTGTCGTGTATGCTTGTTAGACTGGGTGCTCTTGGTGAATGTTAGATCCCCTTCTCTTGAAGCTTCTGGATATAATTTTCATGGATAAAACAAAATCAAGATGTGCCGTAAGAAACATGAATATATCTTATTTGACTCCGCTGCTGAGGCCTCGTCTGCAGAAACATGTTTCAGTCTGGAGGAACATGGACCATCTCTTTCATCTTTCTGCGTGCAGTAAATGTATCTTGTAGATCTCAACTAACTTTTGGAACTTTTCTCTTTCTCGTGTTGCAACTCTAACTAATATTTTACATTACCATTATGCATACACTTATTGTATTCTGCTGATTCAAGTTTAAGCATGGAGCTAGACCCCATAAAATGTGTTGAAATTTTGGTAAGTTGAGTCTGTTTGACAGAGAATCACCCCAGGGAATATGTGAGATGCATTTCATGCCTAAGGTTTTGGAATCATCTGCTTTGCTAATTAAGAAAAAGGAGGAAACAACTTGCGGAAGTGTGAACATCACCAGATGAGGACATTATTTTCAGGGAAAAAGCATCTTGATTTTGGGATTTTAATATGAAGAATAATACTGGTTTAAGAGTGCTAACTGTTTTTATGCAGCACCAGTAAAGGAGAAGGAGAAAGTCAACAGAAATAAATCTGAAGGGGAGAAAGAAGAGAAGAACAAAGAGAGAGAGAGAGAGAGAGAGCAAAGAAGAAAAGAGAAGAACAAGAGGGAGGAGAGGGGGGGGGGAGTAGGATTTTAATACCAAATCGATATATCGGATGTTATTCATCAAGTTTCCTGTACAGAGTACATGAAGGTCCTACTTATATGAGATCGAGTTCTTAACAATTTTGAACTCTCAAAGAACTCTATATTTAACGGAAAACATAAGATTTCATTAAACCTTATCTCTAAGATTAGATATCTCTATTTCAACTAATTGATAAAGATAAAACAATGTTTTTTTGATTAGTAAAGGAAAATGGAAGGTTGTGATAAAAAGATACACAATATTGAGGGACAACACTATCTTCATGACCACATCATGTTTACCAAGTGCCTCTAAGTTATTTTTATCCTGCAGCATTGACTGCTTGAAGGTGTGAAGTACCTTAGTCTTGTAAGACTAAATGTCTCTTAACTTCTTAGCCATGTCAAATTGAAAGTGGTAATCCAAGATCATGTCTACCAGTAATCCTAAATGCAGAAGAAAGCGGACAACTAATTGTCTCAACTTTATTGAAAAGCTTTACTTTTTCGTTGATGCTAATGCATTGGCACCTTTCTTTGTTTTGACAGGGTAGATTTCTGTTAGCTGCTGTCAGTGGCCGTGTTTTAGCTCGTTCATTCCATTCAGTTCTTTCCATTGGCTATGAAGTGATTGAACAAGCTCTAGGTGGAGGAAATGTTCAAATTCGTGAATCTCAACCTGAAATGACATGGAATCGCATGGAGTACTCTGTGATGTTAGAACATGTGCAGGCACATGTTGCCCCAACTGACGTAGATCCAGGGGCTGGACTGCAGTGGCTTCCTAAAATTCGGAGAAGCTCACCGAAAGTGAAGCGCACTGGAGCTTTACTGGAGAGAGTTTTTATGCCTTGTGATATGTACTTCCGCTATACTAGGCATAAAGGTGCAACCGCAGACTTGAAGGTATGTATGCGTTGTTTCTGAATTTGTGATAACCTGATCATGTTGGTTTATGTTGTGAGAACTCTGTCTTATTAGACCAATTCTTTGTTGCATCATATGTTTTGATAATGATGTTTTCATCGCTTGATTCTCAATCGTGATTATGTATTATCACAGGTGAAACCTTTGAAGGAGCTTTCATTCAATTCACATAATATAACAGCAACAATGACATCCCGCCAGTTCCAAGTTATGCTAGATGTGTTGACCAATCTTCTATTTGCCCGGCTTCCAAAGTAAGCACAGTTTTTAAGATCTCTAATTACTAAAATTACTATAAACCTATTATTGTGCTTAACATGCTTTTGGATAAGTGCAACCCATCCCTCATTTTGTTCCTCAGAAGCCTCTATTATTATACTTGGATGTGATGAGTTGCATCTCCATAGCTTTATCTTAAATCTTTGAGGGAATTAATTGAGATTCCTAAATCAGGCCTCGAAAAGTTAGCCTGTCATATCCGGCAGGTGACGATGAAGATGTTGAAGAGGAGGCTGATGAAGTTGTACCTGATGGTGTTGAAGAAGTAGAACTGGCAAGAGTGAACCTTGAACAGAAAGAAAGAGCGCAGAAGTTGATCCAGGATGATATTAGGAAATTATCTCTTTATAATGATGCATCTGTGGACAGGAACCCAGTAAAGGAAGGCGATCTTTGGATTATTAGTGGGGGAAGGTCCATTTTGGTAAGACAGAACTTTCTGAAGCACTTTAAGATTGTTAGATGTGAAATATGACATGTCCTTTTCCTGTTTGACAAGTTGATTTTGAAATGATTGCATAAGCCTTAGCCTATGATATGTACTCTTGACTAATTGTTTCTACCTGGCACGGTTGCCACTATAGCATGGAATATCATTCAATGCCATCGACTGGTAAAATGACATTGGACTTCTGTAGGAAAGCTACGATTTTTAATTTGGCAAGATTTTGAGATCCATGCCCATGGTTTAGCTTGAAATGAAAAGTTGAGATCCCGTGTTGGAAGCTATTGAGAATTAGGGCCCAGAAAGGGCTAACTAACTGTCCTCCTCGACATACCTTGGTTCTCACATCGTGTCCGTTTTGTTGGGCCTGGAGTGTCAATCGGGTGATCCTGAGGCAGAGTTCAATACTTATTGTTCACCTAGGCTGATTCCTTTATTGTCTTCCATGGTCATTAGTCAGAACAGGCAAATAGGTCACAAATTCTCTTGCAATAGTAACTCAGTCCCATCACTACGTGATTCTACCAATTTCCAATGTTCTTCCAGTTGAATCAAGGGGTTTTTCCCGAGCACTATCATTTTTCGGACTTATTTAAGTAATATGAGGGGCGATTATTGATAACAATCACGACCTCATCCGATCATATGCCTTGCCTGGTCCAACTGCCTATAAAATACATAATGTGTGCATATAGGCTAAAAACGATTTGTCTGAGTTGGATATTAATGATGATGGATCGTGAAAACCTGCCGAAAAAAGAAAAAATAAACATGAATGGTGGACTTTTCTTATCGTACTTTCTCCACATATCATAAGCAATTCAACTTCAATTTACCGAATTTTGTGAGTACCATGCCATGAAATAAGCTTGCTTCACCTCTCTCATTCAAGTTTCTGGTTGCTTTGAGATTTCTCTTCTCCCTTTAGAGGGTTTTAAAGCAATCTTCCTATGTGCTATAGTGATGCAAATGTGGTTTTGTGTAATAAGCCCAAGAAATACCTTGATGTCAAGGCTTTTCTTCTCTTGATTTCAGTTTTACTGTTACGTTTTCACTGAAAAGTTATAGTTGAGTTGCATATGCTTATCATTTTCTTCTCAAATTTTTGATGATTCACATGGATTATTTCCAGGTGAAAAGTGACTGGGTATGACCTTTTGTTTGCTTTGGAGTGCTGTCATTCTCATTCGTCTATGTTTTAAATGCTGGCAGTGTGTCAAGCCATTTCTTGAATGGTGTTTAGAGAGCTCTATTATAGTTATTTGCCTTATTTTCCTTTTGTTTTTCAGGAGTTCAATTAACAGTGTAATTTAAAAGAAAGTAATTACGTAAAGATGGTAAAGAATTTTGACAGTTTTACTGTCTTTTTGGTGAAATAGAAGTCTTTGTGGTGCAAAGGTAAGAGATTCTTCTTTTTTTTTTTGGGTGAAAATAGTAACTTCCACTGATACCAAAAAAAGGTATTTGCAAGTAGCTCCAAGCAGATGTTGACCACCTACCCACCTGAACCTAACCTGTCCAAGCCTAAACAGAAGTGGGTGTGTTTTGCTTAGACTCCATGTTCTAAAACCCCTATATGCCCCAGTATGCAGCCCAACCGCCCATTCATTTTGACACACACAACCTACTTCTGATAGTTTGCACATGGTAACTTGTGTCACTTTGGTAGTGGAGACCATGAAGTTAACAGATTTCTTGGAGTTTTGCTTTGAAATGTATAGATTTCATTACAATAATAGGGATAAAAGGTGTATCAAGTTTGAGGGCTTATTAAAAGCAACTTTCTGCAGGTGCAAAGACTGAAGAAAGAGCTACTAAATGCTCAAAAATCCAGAAAAGTAGCATCTGCATCTCTGAGGATGGCTCTACAGAAAGCTGCACAGCTCCGATTGATGGAGAAGGAAAAGAACAAAAGTCCTTCTTGTGCTATGCGCATCTCTTTGCAAATTAATAAAGTAGTTTGGAGCATGCTTGTGGACGGAAGATCATTTGCTGAAGCTGAGATAAATGATATGGTGAGTCTCTACATGGCTTCAGTATTTTTGGTATATCCTTGCTTGGCTAAATTCCTGTAAAGAATTCTTGATGGGTAACACCTGTTGAAGGATAATGGTTATCAGTTATCAGTAGGATTTTATATCAAGCTGCTGCAATATTCCTGACATTCTTCCAGGAAACAAATATAAACATACATGTATTAATGGCTTTTAGGTCTTACATAAGTTAAAGTTCATGTTTTTTTGTAAGCTGTCCCTTTGTGATCTCATATTGGTTATGGTACAGCTTTATTCTCTCCAACAAAAAAAAAGAAGCAATTAAAGAAAAACAAGAGTCAGAATAGTTAGCAGTCGAAGGTATACATAACTAGAAAATTATACTGGAGTAAACTGCAGCCAAAGTTTCATCTATTTGAAGGGGTTAAAATTGAAAACAATATGGTAATAATTCCCTAAGTTAGAGAACTTTTATTGCAGGGTGAACCCTCTGAAATAGATCAGCTGTAAAATCCATGAATTTCGCATCTTTCGAATTTGGTTTCATCCCAAAGATTTTTTTTGTGTGTCAGAGTTGGGGTTTGATGAGATAATGTGTTGCTGGTTCTAGTCATTTTAAATGGAAATGGATTCCAATAACACAGTGTCAGGCTGTCAGCTTTTTCTACAGTTTTGTCTAAGACCATTACATGGTAAAACTAAAGTCATGTCATAAACTTCAGTAAAGGACACTGACACTTGAACTGTAAAGTACTGTGTTCCTTTTTATGCAATCCCTTTTAAACAAGTATCTTGCCTACAGAAACTGTTTCATTGTTTAGGAACTGTAAAGTACCATGCTTTGTTGGACAATGGAAAGGATGTATTTTTTTTTTTTTTTTTAAA